GTCCCAACTTCCTATCAGCTCTTTCCATGCAACTCACCAAGGCCACTGATGCTTTTTCCTGTATTAAATAATTACATTTTCTTAAGAGAAAGAGCACAGCGCCTGGAATAGGGGACGGGTTCTGTAATTGTTTAATGAATGAACAAAGCATGACTCGACGCCATCCATAAAGCTCTAATGCAAACCAGGCACCCTCAAGGTCAAAGGTTTCTAGATATTTGAATTTTCTGGAGCAGTCCACAGTATCGAGGAAGCCGGCACCAAGCAGGCCACTTTTATTTTGCCAACTAAAGACTTCAGGGAAAAACCAAACATGAGTATTTACTGTCACTGTTATTTTATTCATCCATTCACTGAACAAATATTTACTAGCACCCACCTTTGCCAGCACAAAAAAAGACTTTCATTTTTTAAAGGGTCATTTTAATGCTAAAAATGCCAAAGGCACATGATTCCAGAATGCAAGATAATCCATTAAATTGAACATGTTTGGTTTTATGTGTAACTTATTCCGTTGTCCTTGCTGTTTCCATCCTGCCAAGGACTGATGAAGACTTTAGAGCAGAGCTGCTCCCATCCATTGCCTGGCACTTTTTGGACAGAGGTTCTAAATTATCCATTACATTTTTATCTCAATCACCAGTACGTGACTTTTCCCAAAGGGATGGCTTTGGCTAGCAGCCTAGAGCACACAGTGCTGGTCCATGGAACCTTCCATTCTGAGATGATTTCTTTAGATGCTTGATAGCTTTGTCACTCTAGCCAAAATATATAAATAGCCTAGCTGACAAAAAGCACTGAAATGAATTATTCACCGATCCAGACTTCTGGAAAACAATCTCTTCACTAGGTTACTTCACTCAAAGCAGTACCCATATGAAAACATCAAAAAGAATAAAGGGCTCATGCGAAGCTCTTCCTACTCTGACATATTGAAGGATCTCCCTTTTCAACACTGCTTCACATCTGTTAAACACAAGGCTTTTTCCATCGAGTGGGTCTCTCGTCAGTAATTCTTGAAACAAATGAACAAAGCCCGCCTGACACTAGGAGGACAAGTATGACGACTGGAGGGAAAAAGGTAGCAGTCTTTGGAATCATTCACTCTTTCTGCCCCAGCAGAAGTCCAGAGAGCTCACCTGAGAACCTGCCTATGTCACAGAAATGCCAGGTAATCATTAGTGATCTTGCAGAGGACTCATGGCCGAGGGCAGCTTCTCTCTTCAGAGGAGCTTGTCTTTTCTGGCAGAAGCAGAGGGGGAAAAAAATCCAGATTTAGCGTTAAGTTTTATAGGTAGGACATCATATATCTTCCTCACTGAGTAAAAGTAATAAATACAGTGCCTCTGGCTTTAAAAAAAAACTGTGTTCTCTTTAGTTACTGTCTCATCTAAATGTTAGACTTTATCTCCCCAGTCCAAGCGGTGTAAAGGGAATAGGTTGAAAATACAACTGACCCTTGAACAACATGGGTTTGAACTGTGTGGGTCCACCTACACACAGATTTTTTTCAATAAATACTACAAGTGTATTTTCTCTTCTTTATGATTTTCTTCAGATTTCCTTTTCTCTAGCTTACTTTATTGTAAGAATACAGTATATAATAAATGTAATATACAAAATGTGTTAATCAATTGTTTACGTTATCAGTAAAGCTTCCAATCAACCGTATGCTATTAACAGTTCAGTTTTTGGGGCATCAAAAGTTATACAAGGAGTTTCAACTGCGCAATGGGGTCGGTGTCCCTAACCCCCGCACTGTTCAAGGGTCAACTGTAATCCCAAAGAAATTATTGAATTAAAGCTTCACATGCTTTGTGATGGTAAGCAAGAATAACAGACAAGGTGGAATGTTAAAAAGCCATTGAAAATAATGTTTGACATTTTGAACAATGTGGAAGACTGTTTATGCCTAACAAATGAAAAAAAGGGCTGACTGTGAACCAATGTGATTGATTCCAATTACATAATGAAAATGAAAAATGCACACGCACACGTAGATACAAAATGGCGAAAAAATACACCAACATGTTAACTAAAAGTAGTTGTTTTGAGAGAATGGGATTGTGGGAAAGTTTGCTTCTTTAACTGGTGGTCTCTGTCTTCTAAGTTTTCCCCAGAAAACACAAGGAGAGGCAACATGGTACTTAGAGGCACTTGTGCTTTAGAGCCAGTCCCTAGCTCCGCCATGTACTGTAGGGTCTCAGAGCCTTTCTGTCTTCTTGTTAATTGGCTCAGAGGACGATTATAAGGACTAAATGAGATAATACACATTAAATACCTACTGAGGTGGCTGACAGAGCACACAGTCAATAAGTCTGATGTGTTATTTTTATAGGCACAAGGATTTTCTTTTTTTAAAGTCTTTGGCAGAGGCTCCTACCCATACAGTCACTAAGGTTCTTTGGGTAGAAAAAAATGCTGAGATGCTTACATTTCTCACCCATTCGTTTTTTGTTTTCCCTATCCCTGGATACACTAAGGTTCACCAGTCCTGTTACCTGGGCTAGGAACCCCTGGCCCTGTTTAGATTGGGTAACAGCTTCAAGCTCCTGAGAGTTGCAAAAGAGCTGGGCCCAAGCCATGAGCACAATGGCATGCTCTTTCCTTAACATGTAGACAGTCCCTCATGTATGGGCATGGAGAAGAGGGAGCCTATTCTCAGTGGAAAAATAGGAGGCTGCATGCAAACTGTGACTAAGTACCTGCAAGACTATAGTGAGCCCTCAGTTAACACAGTCTATAGGTTCTTGGAAAAGGGGCAAAACGACATATAAGGAAACCAGTTTTACCATAGGCTAATTGAGTTCCTATGGCATCTCATCAATGTTATAATGAAATGATGTTGAACGAAACGTTATTCAAGAACCTGCTGTATCTCAAAACTTTCACTTCTCCCAGGTTGCCTCTCAGGATAAGATCCTTCCTTGAGATTACCATCCCCTCGGTGATGCTATACATTGGCTTCTGTTTACACGATATGATAGTCTATACTTTGCAGTTTTTCGAATTCTTTCTTATTCACCTCCTCTACCTATATTGTGTTGACTACAATTCATCAATAAAACAAAACACATCATGAGGTATTTACTAAGTGCTTGCTCTGCTAAATGCCATGGAGAATCAAAGGAAAGGCTGTAACAGACAAGAGTAGTCCTTGGTTCTTTTTAGTGATGATTCTACCTCATTTGGCCAAGTTACTTATCTTCTCTAGACCTCAGTTTCCTTATCTGTAAATTAAGGATAGTAATAGTAATGTACCTACCTCCTAGGGCTGATAAAAGGATTAAATGAAACATTTGCTCTTTTTATACCTCAATTTAGTCCTCATGGCACTGGAATTTGCATTAAATGGGAAAATACTAATAAGGAGGATCTGAAAGCAAATAGCATATAAGTGAGTTTTACTGTACTGTCCTTAAGAAGCTTACAATCATTAGGGGAACAGTAATACAGATGGGAAGATTAGGAAACAAGAAGTTGGTGAGAACCAAGATCATATGAAAAGCAAAAGGAAAACACGTTGCTTGAGTACCCATTATGGGACCAGTCCTTTCTAAGTGATCTCTCATAAGAACAGCAACCCCGTGAGATCGATCATTTAGTGTCTCTGATGGGCCATGAGCAAGCATCAGAGGCAAAGATTTAATACAAAGAGACAAGACTCAGACTCTTCTCTATTTCCATATTCACATGAGACCTGCTCAAGATCAGTCTTTTCTAGATAAGGCAAACTTCATGGAGAGCTATGAGAGAGCAAGGGAATCTAAAAAGTATTGTTTGAAGGTGACGCACCATTAAGTATCAACTGAGCCCCAAAGGATTCTCCCTACCTGGTGGGAACAGCTGGGCTTAATGACCACCACCATCTAGAAGCCTGATTCAGAGGGAGAAAATGAGATGCAGAGAGAGGACATGACTTGTCAGAGGTAGCTAGGCTCCTTAATTTGAACTCAGTTCTAATTCCAAAGCAATTATTTGTAAGTGAAACACACAAGACCTAGAGACTCCCTCACTCACAAAACAGCAAAGAAAAGCTGAGAATGCAAGGCTCCGGTGGGGCTAAATTAGAGTCCAATTACGAACAAGATTTTCTTTATTGATATGAGTAACACCAGAAGCCTTAATTGAGTTGAGTGTCAGGCACGGTGCTAAAACTTACATTATACAACACCCTCTGTGAAACGATGTAGTTAATTCACTTTACAGAGGAGGAAACTGAGGCTCAGAGAGGTGAGGGAGCTTGCACAAGGTCACACAGCCAGAAAATGGGATTCGAACTCCAATTTCGGTGATTCCTAAGACCCGGCCTCTTTTTTCGGCATCAACAACAACATCATCAATAACAACAACAACAAATCTCTTCCACCCAGCGTTAGTCTGTTTATAAAAGCACCAGAGATGAAGAGATGGAAAAGGCTACGGAGAGACCGCCCCCTGAAACGCGAAAGCCAGACGCTAGTACCTGCCCCCTCTGACCAGGTGAAGCAGAGACCCAGCCCCTAGGCCACCTCCCTTAAAGTCCCCGGCCCCACCACTCGGTGAACCCATGACCCTGTTCCCACTCGCTACCCGCAGGCCGTAGACCTTTATCCGCTCGAGGCCCCCGCGCTCGGGGTCGGAGCCGCAGCTATTGTCGTCTCAGCCCAATACCTCTGAGCTCTGCCAGACCCGGGGCAACGATAGAGACTCGACCGCCATCTTGCCCCGGGGTGTTCGTTCTCAGAGCTCCGCCAGGAAGCAACTATCCAGTTCCGGGCTCCGACAGTTCCTCAAAGCTTCTCCACCCGGGAACGACAATATCCCTGTATCTCATCGTCCTCTCTGGAAGCTGAAAAAGCGAAGCATTCAGGAGCTGGATAAATGCCTGCCCCAGAAGAGAAGAGATGCAACCCATTCCAGCCAGATAGGTTGGAAGGAACACGGCCGACGTCTGGAAGCACAACGGATCCTTTAGGACGGCGCCCTCTGCGGGGCGGAAGTGGGGTACGGACAGCGGAACTTCCCCCCCGGCCCCGCCTCCGTCCCTGGCTCACGCGAGCTGAGTGTTTCCTGCCTCCTCTTTCAGTCCGAGTTTGGAGACTCCGGCGTCCTCCGACTTTTCATGGTAAGGAGGGCGGTGCCCACCGATGGGGGCTCTGGGCGGCAGAGAGAGCGGGGCAGAAGCAGAGTAGAGGGGGAAGGGACCGACAGGAGGGGGTGCGATAGGGGCTGTCGCGATAGGGGATAGGCGAATGGGGGATTGGATGGGGGCGAGGCCAGGGGTGGGGGTAGGGCTTTGGGTGTCCCTGGCTGTTGGGCATAGAGGCGAAGGCATTTGGGCTTGGGGAGTCGATATATGTGTGGGTGGGAGGGGGGTGTCTCTGAGTCTTGAGTGTTTGATGGAAATGGGAATTGATTGTAAAGAGAACAAAGAGATGTCACTGAAGACGGACATTTGGGGAGGGAAAGGCGGTTTGGGGAAGTTGGGAAGGAGAATGGGTACGTTATGAGAGGGCGAAGTGGGATTCCTTGGGACGGAAAGTTTGGCGGTTTGGGAAGTTGTTGAAGGAGTCGCTGGGTTTTGGGGAAGTGGGGAAGGGCTCCCAGGTGCGTCTGAACACATAGGCGAGTGGAGGAAAAATAGAGGGAGCGGGCAAGCGGGTGTGCTTTGCGTGCTTGGCACTCCCCGAAGGGATTGCCAGAGGCCTCAGTTTGGGGTACTTTGGCCGCGGAGTCCAGCGCCTTAACTGGCGCCTTGGTACCTACCTGTATAAGTCACTTCCGTTGAGGCTGGAGGTGGCCACACCTAAGGAGCTCGGGATGGCGCACACGCAGTCTCCTAGCTGTGGGAAGTGAATGTGTGCTTGGGATCCTTCATGGGTCCGTCTCTTGAACTTTGTCCTAGAGTGGGTATGAGCAAAGTTCAGCCCAGACCCTCTTTTTTATTTGTTTGCCCCGTGTCTCTTCCCCGGAAAGTGCAGTCTTGAAGGAAAATCAGTCCCAGGACACTACTGAAGAAAAATGAGTCAACCTGTATGTGACATCAAGTATGCTCCATTTTGTGTAAAACCAGGACCACCGGTGGTTCTCAGATTATGGGCCCCAGACCAGCAGCATCCACTGGAATTTGTTAGAAACGGCCAAATTTTCAAGCCCCACCACAGACAACTGAATCAGTCTGGGGTGGAGCCCAGCAATGTCTTTTCACAAGCCCTGCAGGGGGTTAGAGCAATGATTTCTTGATTTTGCCTATGTGGTGAAAAGGGCATGAGCGTGGGAGTCAGTGTACCCTAATAGTTCTGATTCTTAATTTTCCCCCCTAAAAAGTGGGATTGATAACAGCATTTACCTCACTAGACCACTGAGAGAAATACATTGATAGTTTGTGTGCTAAACACAGCAACAGAATATAATTGGGCAGAACACTTGGAAATAGCAGTAGCAGTTCTGTAGGTTTGGGATGCAAAATAATGCTATACTTATGTGGATAATTGAATTTACTTTTGCTGAAATGGAATCACAGACTTTTCAGAGTTGTAGAAATGCCCTCTGTTTGGGGACAGTTTATCGTTAGCCTCAAGGCAGTGACTCTTAGCTCTAACTGGTTAAAGAAACAGCTTTGTGTAAAGGGGATCAAATATATGGTGATAGAAAGAGAACTGACTCTGGGTGGTGAACACACAATGTGATATATCGATGATGTATTACAGAATTGTATACCTGAAATCTATGTAACTTTGCTAACAATTGTCACCCCAGTAAATTTTTATTTTTAAGATTTTTTTTTAATTGGGGGAGGGGAACAGTGCTGGGGAATCAGGGGAAGGGGAACAGACAAGTTGCTGTTGTTTTATTCTTCAGTCTAGTTGTGGAGAATGTTGCCCCACTGGTCCAAGCTGGCACCATCATTGCGCTCTTCCCGGGCGAGGCAGATCAGTTGCTGGCCTCTGGACAGCAGCTCATAGTGGCTGCTGGCCGCTCACGCTGGCTGCTGGCTACACACGGTAGCTTATGGCAGCCCACTGCAGCAGGGGCTGCAGCCTACGCCGTCGCTGGCGACCCACTGCAGCCCAGCTCCAGGTCGAGCTGCCGTTCAACACCTTAGCTACACAGGGCAGTGTCACTGGCCCTCATATGTGGGATCCGAACCGGGGCCCTCTGGCATCCCAAGCCAGTTTTTCACCAACGCGCCACTCGGCCGGCCCCAGCAAATTTTAATTAAAAGAAAAAATGAAACAGCTTTGTGGCTTTCAGCGCTGGCCACACATTAGAATCACCTGAACTTTTTAAACAATAGTTTCGGAGCCGCCACACCCATCTCTTCCCCTGCCCAAATTTGATGACTTGTTCTGGGGTGAAATCCAGGCATTAGTACTTTTTAAGCATGCCCAGGTGATTCTGTAATAGTACAGCCAAGGCTGAAGCATCCTGGGCTTAAGGAAAGCTTGAGGAGCAGAAGGGAAACTACACTAAGGATCAGGTGCCAAGTACTTTAACATTCATTCCCTGGGGGTTGTTATGAAGCTTATGACTTGAACTTGGTTTTACAAGTTAGGAAACTGAGACTGAGTTAAATCACTAGTCTGAACATCACCCAGGAAGTAGTGGAACTGAGCTGCAGTCCAGGTTTGCCAAACTCAATCTAACATTCCACACACATATTTCCCCCAACACACACACAAAGGAGACAGTTCTACAGAGAGTAGTATAGAAAACATCTAGGGGGTGAAGGATTTGGTGCCTTTTTCCTATTGTACTTGCCTGGGTCTCCTTTCAAGTCAGCAGTTTTTTTCCTCTTAGGCTGACTTTTATTTTTTAAGCGTACATACAGTTACTTCCTGTCTGTGGCTCAGAAGCTGTGAAGCAGAGGCTTGCTTTTGTTTATGATGCTTTGGTTTGTTTTTAATGTATGGGCCGGAATCCACTGGGCCAATAGAGCAAGAGGTGAGGGAGCTTCCCCAAGACATGAAGTTACCTGTAGCCTGATTAAGGCATACAGAATTTTTTAGAACAGTGGGCCGTATTCCTGGCTGCACATTGGAATTACCTGGAGGAATTTTTAAAATTCTGTTGTTGCCCATGCCACACCCCCAGACCAGTTACATCAACATTTCCTTGGGTAGGACCCAGGCACCAGTATTATTTTAAGCTCTCCAGGGAATTTGATGTGCAACCAAGTGGAGGGCCACTGTTTAGAATCAGCAACAGTATACTCAGGGGAGATGGAAAAAAGAGATGCCTTGACTTATCCATCTAACTGGAATAAACTTCTTTTCTGATTGAATGGAATCGGTAACCAATACCTCCAGTATTAATTACCGCTCCGTTTCTTGTAACCAATTTTGCTGTCTCCCGCCTCACCTCCCCAACCTCATTAAAAATGAAATCAAACCTTTGAAACAAGCAGGATGGGGCATCCTCCGTAGAGAGGTTTGCTGTGAGAGGCTTATTGTCTTCCGCTGTGTGTCCTCAGCTCACTGTAACTCGGGCTCCGGGACGTGAACACAGCCAGGACCTTTTCTCCAAGGGCCTCTCTTAGTATTAATGCGACTGACCTTTGGAGGAGTGGGCTCTGGAGAGGTTCAGAGCTTTCTTTGTTTATTCTGCAGCCTCTAGCTAGATCAGGATGGTTTCTGCCTTTATAATTCAGTCAGAAGTCAATAGAGCTGGAACCGGTCTCCAAACAGAAGATAATTTGAGACTGAGCGCATTCTCAAATCGTCATCATTTGAGTGTTTCATGTTTGAGTGTATGCTCTGAGCCAGGGGTTATGTTTAGTGCTCTGTGGTATCCCTCACAGCAGCCCTTGGGGTTGGAGGGAGGCACCACTGTTGTCCCCATTTGTTAGGCTGAACTAGACTCAGACAGATGACTCACCCAGGCTCCCACAACTGGCAAATGGCAAGGCTGGGGGCTTGAATTCAGGTCTGACATCCAAACCCAAGCCCATAGCCACACATTGCCTCCCATTTTTTTTCAGTTTTTTGTTTGTTTTCGGGGTTTTTTTTTTTACTTTCTAAAGAAAGGAGTGGGATCCTCCTTTCACAATTTGTATGTCATAACTCTATAAATACTAAGCATGACCACCGATAAAATCATGGGCTCAAGGCCAGGCAGGACTTGGCCACATTCCTTCTACTTTGTCACCGAGCCACCTCTGTCGCAAACTCACTTTGGGAAGTGCCTAAACTGTGGGCCGTGGTATCTGAATCCACAAAATAGAAATCATGATGGTTGCCTTCCAGCCTTGTGTGGATTTTAAATGGTTGTATGTGGTGGTAGAAATGAAAGCAGAGGCATCTTCTTGGAGGGAGGAGTGAGAAAGGGGCTTTCTGGAGCCACAGAAATATTCTCTCTCTTGCTTCAAGTGGAGGGGGGGCTATGCAGATGCATCTATTGACCAAAACTCCTCAGACAGTACGGGTAAAATGCACTTTATTGTATGCAAATAATCTTTTAAAAGGTATTGGAGAGCAAAAAAAGCACATAAAGTATACTTCATGACTTTTTTGTTTTATTATGAGCACCTTACAAAATGCGAGAGTATTTCCCCTGCACATTTATTTTTGTATAAATTTAGATCTGAAAAGATTGCTTAAAAAGGTATTTCCATTTTGGAGCAAATTTCCTTAACTAACTCCCCCCTCCTCCCACCCCACCCCCACCCCCCAGACACACACACACACACAGCTATAAGCCTTCCCACCACCCCCTTCAAAGTTTTTAAAAACTCTTTATTCCCATAAGCTACTTCTGTCATCCCATGAACAGTTTTTCTGAAGGAAATGGTGAAAATTGTTAGGGTCTGGTCTCTGGGGACTGATTTCAAAGGAACGTGAGAAGGGTGGGGTCCCCACTTCCCCTTGGCCTCTTTTATGTTTGGCATCAGGCCACAGAGAACCCAGGTGAGCTAAGCCTGAGCGTTTGAAAACTCACTTTATGACTTTTTTTTGTTTTACTTTAAGCAGAGACAGTTGCTTGAGGGAACTCTGGCCTTTCCAGGAGGCCATTCTTTCTCTGTTACTGGTCGAGGCTCTGACGTCCCCCAGTGGGTGGTTTCCAGGCCACTCTTTTGGGGACACTGAGCTCAAGAGGGCTGTCCATTGCCTCTGCTCTTACCCAGTTAAGGCAGGTTACCACTCATTAGTCCCTTATCCCATTGAAACAACTAACATTTGTGTTTTAACAATTATAAACGTAAGACATAATTCATTGTGGAGATCCAGAAAAAGCTTCCTGCTGTCAGTGCCCTCCAGCCAAAACCACCAGCAGCTTCTCTGGAGTCAAACAAAGTTGGGTTTATTTCCTTGATGCCTTGAGGGAGAACCGTGGGGCCTCTCAGAGGATTTGGGCTGCTTTCTCAGACTCAGTAGAGATTCAGCCCCCTCGTGGACATCTTCTCCAGCTATTGACTTCTACCTAATCGTTCAAGAAATGTGTTCTTTGAGTACACATATGCCAGGTACCAGTCTCATTTCCTGCGCCTGCTTAAATCAGGACACTACATCTATTCCTTTGATATGTACATGAGAGCTAGCCGTGCTAGTGCTATTACTGTCATCAGATCTTGCCCTTTGGGGCAGCGCTAATACAGAAAGTCTCTAATTTTGCACTAACTTGCTTCCAGGAGTTTGTGTGTGTGTTGTTTAGTTCTCATAAACACTTTTTTTTCTATGGGAAGTATCAGGATTGGTAGTTGGGCTCCTACTCAACTTCATAAAAGTATATTTCGTCTGTAATTCAGCTGAAAGGTGGCACTTTTAGCTGTCCCGTGGTACATGACAATAAGGAAACAGACCTGGGCAGTGTCCTAGGCTGCTTTAGGATATAGCTAGGGCGTTTGTTTATACAGGAAGTGGGCATAATGGAAGTCCTCGTAACACAAGAGTTAGTGGCAAACTTTTATCCACAGGGTCAGCAGGCAAGGTCAGTGTATGAGACTATCTGGATGGAGTTTGGGGTACATGGGTGAATACATGCCCCTCGCCAGGGGGCAGCCACTACCCCAGTTCCCACCAGTTGTTGCCCTGCTGGCCAAGTTAGCCTCCGTTTTTTTTTTTTTTTTTTTTTTTACTTTTTGTTGGGAAACAGCCATGGTCATTGGTTACACATGGTTTTCATGCTACAGTGGCATAGTTGACTCTTTCAAGGAGGGTGCAGCTCACAGTAGCCCATGTGGGGATCGAACCAGCAACCTTGATATTGTCAGCACGATGCTCTAACCAACTGAGCTAACCAGTCACCCCCAGGCCTCCGATTTTAGGAGAAGCCAGAAATCCACATTCTTCTGTGAACTGTCCTGAGTTGGCACCGTTGGGAGCGAAGTTTGTTTTAAACGCAGCATGTAGTTGGACTAAACAGAACACCTGTGGGAGGCTAGACTCAGCCCAGTGGCTGAAGAAGTAACCCAGACCTGGTGCTGTGACCCTGGTGACCTTGTGTCTTCTCCACTGGCAGGAAGAGATGTCAGGAGAAAGTGTGGTGAGCTCAGCGGTGCCAGCGGCTGCTACCCGCACCACGTCCTTCAAGGGCACAAGCCCCAGCTCCAAGTATGTGAAGCTGAACGTGGGCGGCGCCCTGTACTACACCACCATGCAGACCCTGACCAAGCAGGACACCATGCTGAAAGCCATGTTCAGCGGGCGCATGGAAGTACTCACCGACAGTGAAGGTAAGCTCAGCCTCCAGGCACTGGGGACGTGCTGGAGGCCGAGGGCTTCATTCTAACTTATGTCAGAAGACCAACATGAAATGCGCAGTTGCCATATAGCTACAGGTTTCTGGTTGTGCTTAGTGTTATCATTGTGTGTAGGAAACCTTGAGAGTGAGTAACAGGGAGGCTGGATCTAGTTGTAGGGCAGAGGGAGGCGGGCGTAGTCAAGGAGGGCTTCCTGGAGGAAGTGACATTTAAGCTGAGACCTGAAGGCGAGTAGGAATCAGCTAGACAGGGACTCACGGTCTTAACTTAGTTGTTGATTTGCTCTGTGACTTTGAGAAAGTCACTTTCCCACTCCAAACCTCAGCTCCATAAAATGGAGGCTAGACTAGCTACCCTAGTTGGTTCCCTTCCTGTTCGTGTAGCGACGATTCTAGGACTTCACAGTGAAACTCAAGTGTGAGTCATAAGTGTGAGTCACTTGTCCTAGGATGGGGTCCCAACAAAGGCTCACAGACCTAGACTCAAGTCACAGCTCCTGTTAGTAGCTGGCGATTCTAATCAAGTTGTTTAGCCTGTTGATACCTCATTTTCCCTGTCAGGTGAAATGGGCATAGTGACATCAACTCGTGGGGCTTGTTGGCACATAGTCAGCATTCAATATATGCATAGTCAGTGCATTTTTTTTTTCTGTATGGAAAGTCATGTTAGTAAAAGGCAAAGAATCATTTAAAGTTATCTTACTTTCCGTGACTACTTCCTATCCACCTAGAGCAATCAGAGCACCTGGCAAGGGGGAACGTCTTTACCTGACTGAGTTTGCAGGGCAGGTCACATGAGGTTTAAAAACGACCTCATCCTTCATTCCTTGGCCTGAGATTGCTTAAGATGGGGTCAGACCACAGCCTGGCTTGATGCTCCTTACCTGTTTCGGAGGCTGGCCTCTGTGCCGCTGTCCCTGCCTTTCCACGGACAGCGGTTCCTGAAAAAATGGGCAGGTTTTGACACAGTAGGTGGGATGGGGGGCCCTAAGCCTGGTGGTCCCAAGAAAGCCAAAGCTCAGGCTGTCACCGGTTAGGGGTGCTTCCCTCTGTGTCCTGGCAGTGGCCGGGCTTTAGGGCTGCAGTTCCGCTTCTTTGGGCTTCCCGGGAACTCGGCTTTCCAGAGCTGCCTTCTGTGTCTTACTGAGAAAAAAAAAAAAACCAAGCTTTTTATGAGTGGGAGGAGCCCTTTTGCTGTGCCACACCCAGCCTGGCCTGGAGTATTTGTGGAAATGAAGACAATAGCACCCCAGCTGCAGAAGGAAACAGACTTTATCTGAGAACCCAGGATTATTGTGGCTTTTTTTCTGCCCTACCCAGTTTCTAGCAGGGCTTAGGAAAAGTTATGAGTCGCCTCAAAAGCAAAGAGGAAGCCTCGTTTCCTTGAAAGCCCTCACCTTGGTGGCCTAATGCTCCTTGAGCTCCCCCATCTCCCAACAGGGGGACACATAGGAGTGGTACCAGGGGGCCTATCGCAAGGCCTCCAAACTCTTCTAAAGGACATCCTTTCCTTGTTTCCTGGAAAACCCAGCATCTCTGGAAAAGCAGTGCTGTTGCTGGCACTCCAAACCTCACTGTTTTCATTTCACTAGAGCTCCAGCCGCCTTCATATTGTTATGCAAAGTTCACAATATGGCATTTTGTGGGTGTTGTTTCATTTCTGCCTCACCTTAACTCTTTGAGGGGTGATTACTTGTCCTGTTGTTACAGTTTCAAAGGCGAGAAATCCACATCTCACATGAAATGCTTTTTCAAAAGCTATTGAACCTAGGACTTACTGGCTCTTACCATCTGCTGTCCATGGTTTGATATGGGCCCAGCCCCCTGCCAGGTCGCCGGGGCGTAGCAGCCTTAGGCTTCAACCACTGGCTTAGTGCTGCCGCCCGAGTGGGCCTGGGCTGTCAGCCTGGGTGTCTGGTCTTCCAGCCAGCGCTGTGCGGGCAGGCCCACCTTCTTGGTGAGTCCACTGCACAGCCTGACCCGTGGCCTAAATGTTCCCTCCAGTACACTCTTAGGGGTACAAACTGGGCAAGTTTCCTGCATCTCACAGCTTCACCCCAGGGGTGGGGAGGCTTCAGGCCAGAAGGCTGTCAGCTGCAGTGAAGTTTGTCACAAACAGGTGGAAATACCAAGTGCAGCTCAACCAGGCAAGTGAATCCAGCTGTACAGCCTGCTGGCTAAAGAACAGTGTATGTATTCTGTTGCTAGAAATCTCTAAAGGATGCTTAAGAAACTGGTTGTTTCTGGGGGAGGAGGCCCGGGGGCCGCGGTGGCTGGCCGACTCTCTTGTGCGCCATACCCTTTTGCCCATTTGAGTTTTGTACTGTGTGCATGTAATTCCTACACAGAGAAGAACCTGGGCGTTGGAGGGAGATGGGCCTGGGTTCGAGTCCCACTCTGTTACATGGTAACAGTCACAACTCACATTTATGGAGTGATTTCTATATATTGAGCCTTGTGCTAATTTAGACTTATTGGCTCTTCACTGGTAAAGTGATCATGGGTGAGTGGCTTTTTTTTCTCTGAGCCTGTTTCCTCCCTTCAAAGTTGTGAATAGTAATGCTTTCCAGGGTTGTTATGGGGATTAAATGAGGCCATTAGAAAGCACTTGATAGAGTGCCTGACACATTGGAAGACTCAATAAATGGGCGCTGTTCTTTGTGGCTTGCGTCCTGCCTGGGGTGAGGTGTGGAGGTGGAGGGTTGAGCGCTGGGCAGAGCTGCGGAGAGGCAGGTCTTAGCAGTGTGGAGGGGAGAAATGGTGGTGTGGCCTTGAGGGATGAGTGTCCTGCAGTTCCACGGTGCCCCTATGGCGGGGTGGGGGGGAGGGGGCTGTTCTGAGAAGCCCAGGACAATGTGGCAGTGAGCAGGCCTTTGCCAGGCTCCTTCCCAGAACCGTGCAGTTCCTATGGTGCTGGAATTTTTACCCGAGCCCTTGTCAACATTGCCATTGGTGTTGGCTTTAGTGGCACCTTTCTGAATAAGAGTTCTGTGTGTCTCTCACTGGGTCGTGCACCATCCCTGTTGCTTGGTACGGTACTGTCCCCACCCCCAGTGGTTTCTGGTCTCTTGCTAATGTGTTGGGAATGAGGGAGTAGATCTTATCAGCACACATTTCCTAGAAAACCAGTGGGGAAGTCAGGGTAATAATGTGGGGAAAATTGCAGCACCCCGGGGCTTCTCTGAGATAACCGGGCCTTCTGCCTTTTGTAAAATTCTGAAATACGTTTTAAGAGCTTTAAAATTGTGGGTCCTATAACAAACTCCCCTGCACCCCACTCACACAAGGACTAAAACATGACATGCACTGATGGGGCCTCTCTTTACCTTCTCCGTTTGCTGCTCCCCCTTCCAGAGGTGACCACTGGCCTGACTTTAGGGTCACTAGGTGGATTGCAACCTTGGCGGCACTGTGAGTCCCCCACGGAGCTAAATCCTGATGCCTGCCACCCTCTCAGCCCACCCCACCCCCGCCCCCAGCCAGTGTCCTTGGGCAGATGTACTTGGGGCATTTGGACTTCTTAAGAGCTCTCCAGGGCATTCTAATGTGTGGTCAGGGTTGAGAACCACTAGTAGGGCTCTTTCTGTGAATGACTACAACTGTTGATGGCTCTCAACAATGTTTCATTGGTATGTTTTTAAACATTGTATAAATGGTGTTACGTTTTTGTAACTTTTTTGCTTTTGCTTTGCTTAGCATTTTCGGTGGTGAGACTGAGACATGAATAAATAGCTGTAGCTCAAACAGTGCCCTGCCCTGGAGTGTTCTGTTCTAGGAATGGACTGCAGCACTTGGATCCATGGTCGGTCGATGGTTCTGTGGATGGCTCCCACTGTCCACCATCAGGATTATTATCATGCTTGAATATTCTCCCCGGCATGTGTGAGCTTCTGTAGAGCATCGCTTCCCAGCCTTTGTCGTATCATGGCACATCCAGAAAGTCATATTTTTACTTTGGTAAATGAGGGGGTTCTGCACTTCCTCAGGGGCTGCAGCATGAAGATGTTACCCACCTTTGGGAGGGAGCTGTGTCTAAGGGTTTATTCCCAGGAGAGGAATCGAGGCCAGCAACTTTGGCTTGATTAGATATTAGCAGCTCTGTGAGTTTACACTCCCCTCAGAGGTCTGAATTTTTGCTGACACTGGGCACTGTCAACCCTTTTAATTGCCAATTTGAGGGTTTTGGTATGGTACTCTGTTGTTTTATTTATCATTTACTGATTTCTAGTGCATTGAGCATCTGCTTATGTTTATTGGTTATTTGTGTTTTATCCTTTCGCTGCCTGATTGCATCTTTCTTATGTATTAGGTTTTCAGAAAAGGCATGATGTATTTTTCTGTTTTAGGTTTTCAGAAAAGGCATGATGTATTTTTCTGTTTTTCATTGCAAAAATGTGTCATGACTTCTCCGACAACCCAATAGTTTCCCATTTCCCTTTTTGTTTTGTAAAAAGAAGTAACTATGTATTCTGGATCCAGTTTCTTTATGGTTTTATGTTGTAAACATAAGCAGCAGAAGTCTGACTTGTCCTAGTTTTTTTAGTGGTATCTTTTGATACCACAGTTTTTACGTTTTTTTCCATTTTGGTCTGTGATCTACCTCAGTGGTATTCAACCAGGGGACTCTTGGCATTACCCAGAGACATTTCTGGTTGTCACAATTTGGGGCTGGGAGTGCTACAGTATCTAGCAGGTAGCCAGGGATGCTGCTAGATAACTGACAGCGCCCAGACCAGTTCACCATAGTAAAGAATTACCCAGTCTAAAGTGTTGTAGAGCCGAGGCTTAGAAAGCCTGCCGCAGAGACTCTGGTTCGGGAATGAAGCACCTCCCTAGAATCTGAATTTGTAACAAGTATCTCGCTCAGGTGACTTATGATCCGGCAAGTTTGGGAACCACAAAACTATAGAGTATACATACCTCAGCATGGAGAAGAGAGGTCAGGGAAAGCTCCCTGGACGAAGTGGAGGGAGGGAAAGGAGAGAGGACGTACATGGTGTGCCAGCGGGGCTGGGAGAAGGCGAACCTAGTGGCCTAGCCCCCTAACCCCAAAGGGAAGCCTCTGAGGTACCCTGAAAATCTCACAGGCTCCCTCCTGGGGGCTGGAACATGCTGCCACTCTGTTCTCAAAGAATGGGGATGAAATGTGCAACGGTTCATGGTCAGAGACCTGATGTAAAGGTTGCCAGTAGACCCAGCGCTTTGCTGTGTGCCTCCCGTACATTCGCATCAGACCTGTACGCCAGCCCTGTGAGGCACCATTTTTAGAAGAGGAAACTGCTGGACAGAGAGGATAAGTGAAACTATTGTAACATCCCCCAGCAAGTCCGCAGAGCTGGGTTTCCAGCACAGGCCCACGCTCTTCCCCCCTGCGCCGTGCTGCGTCTCTCATGCCGTCCCAGAGCCTCTGGCCTGCACCCCGCCTGCTCTCTCCAGCCTTGTTGAAGGCACTGTGGACCCCAGGCCGCCCTGACTCGTACAGCCTTCCTAAAGAGCCCATGTGCCCTGTGGCAGCAGGAGGAGCGCCCCACGAGCGAGCAAGCGGCCCCTGGACTCCCGTTGGCTTTTCTACGTGCGAGGAATTTGAGCTGTTTCAGAGGGAGCGATGCCTGCTTTGAAAGCAACGAAAATATTTCAGAGTCAGAATGCTAATTGAAGCCTCATGGAGCGTGCGCCTGGCTCCTTTGCCCTTATTTGTCCAAAGTATGATTCCTTCGCCACAAGCATTTCCTGACGGCAGGCATTCTTGAGCTGGAGCCCAGTGTCATGGTCCGCCTGCTCGTTTATGGAAACTCTGGGCTGTCACTTGGGTAATTGATTTCAGGGGCCCTTGCTCCTTCCAAGCAGCCGAGCTGTTCATGCGTCAAAGGCAGAAGAACGGGGCCGGTTTCTACCCGGAGCAGCTGGGTTGAATCGGTTGCCGTTTCTCTTAAAGACGGAAGTTCTACTTGTCTTCTCAATACCGGTGAAAAGAGTTTTCCTAAGTTTCTTCTTTGTGGTCTGGTCCTGCCTCCCCAACTTGGGAAGTGTCACTGAACCCCCCTGAGCCTTGTGTTCATCTGCGGAAAATGCAGGGGAGCGAGCCTCTCTCTGAAAGAACTTGGGCAGATCACACGGTCTTTCTTTCCACACCTTGTCCGCTCGTTGGAAGAAAAGCACTAGATTCAGGGTAGCGTAGAGGTTGCAAGCTGGTGGCATGCGGGCCCCGTGCAGCCTGCAGGTGTGTTTTGGTTCCCCTATGGTGGGATAATAACAGGTTTTTAAGCAAATTAGTTTGCCATTACTAAAGATCAGGAGCTGTCACTGAGAAATCTGCATTTTTGGCTTTGCTTGGAGCATCAGAGGCTCCTGCAGCCCCGGGCCCACATTCCTGCCTGGCCACTCTTGGCCGGAGCAGGAAGACCCCTCTCCCCCACCTCACAGGGAGGTAGGGCACTGCTCTTCCGCCAGCCATCAGCCCAGCCCACCTGTACCTGTTTATCCTGCCTGTGCAAAGCCCCCCGAGGCATCTGGGCGGCATAACAGATTCTAAGTCCATAGTCTGTTGTCTCAAATGTAGAAAGAAGCAGTGGGATAGTGTCCAGCAGTCATGGTCCCGGGATACGGTTTACCTCATCCTTTCTTGAAACCAGGATTTGACTCCAGGCTGCAGGAGAGGAGCCTAGAAATAGCCTAGTTATCAACTCTCCTGGTGAACGTTGCAAAGAATACCAACTAGCCCACTAAAACCAAGAGAGAGCTCTTGGCAGGGCTGGATTTGGGGGATGAGGGGTTTGGGGGAGGTGAGCGGACTTGTGACTCTGGATATGAAAAAGGTATGCTCCCTGCCCTTGGTCTTTGCTGGCTTCTGCTGTTGATCCAGGGCCTGGGGGTCTGAGGAGGACACGGGGCAGGATTCTGGGATGTTAGGAGTGGAAAGAAAGCGGGGGAATAAGACCACTGATTCCTGTTTGAACCTCCTAACTTCCCCCCTGCTGGTGTTTTCTCACCTGGAATGGTGGGCAGGAGACCTGGGCAAGCCCTTTGCCTAAGGTGGCCCTGCTGGTAAAGACAACGTCTCGCTGGCTTCTTTCTTAGTGCTCCGCGTTTTCTATCCAGACATACTTGGTCTTTGTTCCATCCCTACTTCCCTTTTCGGCACCATCGTCTCTGCACAGGCTCCAGTCCTGCTTCCTCCTCCAAATATCACTTCCAGGGACATTTGCGTTTCAGTAGAAGAATTCTGAAAACCCATCGCATCTCTAGTGGTGGAATAGCAGGCAAGTGCCCAGACTGGAGAGGGCATTGAGAAGTGGAAGGGCTTGTCTTTCTGGTCCGCCCCCCCAAGAATTTGTCTCAGTGCCTGGCTCTGCTCAGCAGTTGGGCATTTTTCCGTATGGGTGTTTTTAATAAAAGCAAGTTCCATCTCCACGCATTAACACTGAACTGCTTAAGGGCAGAGTCTGTCTCCCTCACCATTTTATCTCCGATCGCTGCCACTAGCCAATAAGTGCGTGGTAGGGGAGTTAGGGGCGGAACTTCCTGTGGTGGTGCTGGTGGGTGTCTGGGGTCACCCCCAGGAACCAGAGGTCTCAGTCTGTGGAGTGAGCCTTCTTACTTAGCAATGGCTCTGGTATTTGAGAGTCTGTAAAAAGCCTTGTAGAAAGAGGGAGTAGATATTTTCACTCCAGAGGCCTTTTCCTATTTTTGGGGTCATTTGGACACATTTTATCCAGGTGCGGTGGTCTAGGCCCCTTGGGGTGTTCTTGTCTAAGGGATTTTTGAGGGTTCTTTAGAAACTTGCTTTTAGGTCTCAAGGGCCTTGAGACCAGATGAGTCCGGAGTGTGGCTGTCTCCAGCCAGCAGGGCAGGAGGTTGTGACAGTGCTGCCCTGGCGGGCTCTTGTCAGCGCTTGGCTGGTGGCTCTCTCGGTGGTCCTGTTCTCCCCGGGAGCTGCAGGGAGCCTGGAAACACCCCAGGTCCTCTCAGCACCTTCCTAGGGCGCAGTGCCTGTGTAACTACCCCTCCCTTCCTCTACAGGCTGGATCCTAATTGACCGCTGTGGGAAGCACTTTGGTACGATACTCAACTACCTTCGTGACGGGGCAGTCCCCTTGCCCGAGAGCCGCCGGGAGATCGAGGAGCTGCTGGCAGAAGCCAAGTACTACCTGGTCCAGGGCCTGGTGGAAGAGTGCCAGGCAGCCCTGCAAGTAGGCATCTCGCTTTCTTCCCATAAGCGTGGCGAGGCCCCAGACCTACCCGCCTTCCTCATTGTTCCTGTCTGCAAAATGGGTGCAGTTTTAACCTCACTGAGCTCTTGGGAGAGTTCATGAGTTAGCTCTGGGGCTTGTCCCCTTGGGTCAGAGTGACCCCCTAGGAGGCTTTTGTGTAATGCTTAGGCCACCTAACCGCTCCCTGGTTCATCTCAGTCTCCATGGGGTTGGGTCATCTGATGTGGACACTGAAACCCTTTAGTACTGAGCCATGGGCTGGAATACTTGGTCAGTATTCGGGACCCATCTTGAGACTTATTCTCACCCCATGAGTTCTCACTGGAAGCCCAGCATAATCTCTGCAGACGCAGACACCCCTCACTCCTCAGCTGGGCCTGGAGCAGGGACATCAGGGTCAAGTGTAGTGAGAGCAAAATCCCTACAAAAACAAAATGCCTCTAGACATAGCCAGTGGCCATTTGTATCAGACAAACTTCTGGCGGGGCAGAGAACCAGAAGAGTCCCTTTAGGTTGTCGCAGGAATTGTACCTGTCCATGTGAGGTACTTATTTTGGCAAACTCCCCCAAGCCGCATGTCTGTTTGGCCCTCCACCGGAACAGTACCTGTAATGCCTAGCTCCTCAAGGAACTTGTTTGCACAAGTTCACCTCTGTCCTGAGAGTCTGTGAACTCGCTATAAATCTAACCAAATGTATTTTTATTTCATGTTTATGTTCATTAAAGTAATACATGTACACCACTTAAGGAGTCACATAGTAGTACAAGTTTGGTGTAAAAAACACCCCTGTATACCCTCTGCCCCCTTCCCCCACCCCCAGGCAGCCTCCTGATGCTTTCAGCAGCACTGTTTCCTTTCATATTGGTTATACTGCTATTCATCGACATTTCAGTTTTCAATATTATCTACTGGCACTACTATAGAAAGTTTAAATTCAGCTTGTGGACCACCACAGCCTCCTCCCCACCACTAGCAAACTTACATATATACACAGTCCTTCTCCTAGCCTCCCAATATAGGTTATCACAGTTTGGGTTAGATGGGCATGCAGAGTTTACGCTGAGATGTCTGTATTGTTAACGTTTGAACCACTGTACGCAATGATGATTTTCTTTCTTGTGGAACTTTTCAGTGTGCCAGAGTCGGTGATTGCTTCCTTGTTTTCTTCGCTTGGTTTTCTAAGTACATAGCCCTCATTCAGCCCAAAATTCTGAGAAAGCTCAGCCTCTTGTTGGTACATTCAGACACATCAGTGAACCTCTGATTCATCCTTGTCTTGGAGATGGGCCTCCTGGGTCCCCTTTCCGTGGCTTCTGTTAGTCTGAGGTTCAGCTTCCAAGGCTGACCTCCTCCCAGTTTCTATCGCAATTATCTTCCTGTTCCACTTTCTCAGAGGTTCTATTTTTTTTTTCAGTTTTGCCTTTTCAACCCTTCTATTGAATTTTTCACTTCTGCTATCATATTTCTAACCTCCAAGAGCCTTTCCTTGTTCCTTTTTTTTATGTAGCACACTGATCTCCTTTCATAGGATGCAATATCTGCTCTCATCCGTCTGATGATACTCGTATTTGAAGTTTTCTTTCTGCTGCCTTCACCGTCTGACTCCTTCCCTTACTTTTTCTCTCTTTGTTTTGGTCTCATGTTTGAGAGGCTTTCCACAGATAATCGGATGACCCCTTGGCCTGCTGAAATTTAAGAGTCAGGCTCTGGAAAGCTGCATGGGTGTGGGTGGTCCTTGTTTTCTGGTAGGCTTCAGTGGGGGATGAGAAGGCTGACTTTTTCAGTGGGAACCCCCCCCATGTCAGAGCCCCTAAGCCTCTTTTTGGACAGGTCAGTTCACGGGAGGAATCCTCCACTCTCTTGCCTAGAGGGTATATGCCCGACTGGCTGCCTGCTGAGACCGGGTGGGGGGAGGGGCCGACTTACCTTCTAGTGTGTAGACCATTCACTTAATCACCCCATTTTCAGAATAGCAACTCAGCCCTGTCCTGTCCTGTCCAAACCACTCCAAGGAAGTGGATCTTCCTTCTGCCGGGCTGGGGAAGGGGGTCCATCTGGGGGCCTTGCTGGTGCTTCTGTCAACTGGCAAGCAACCCCCTGACCTTGGCCTTTGCCCACCGGCCTTCAGAGGTGTCCTTTGAAAATCTCCAGGATTCTCTTCTATCTGCTGACTTAGGTTCCCGCTTTCTCCTCCTCAGTTATCACTCGTCTGTGACCGGCTCTCCAGCCTCGAATTCTTGATATCTTTTTGTCTGCTGACCTCACTGCTGTCATTCTCTTTCTCCTTCTGGGCTTATACTTTTTTTATTCGTTTTCTTCTTCTGTAGTCATTGTCGTGGGGTTTTAGGAGCTTTGCTGCAGTCATAGTTCATCTACCATGTTTAGGGTGTATGTTTGAATGGCTCCTTAGGCTGTGGAAATGTGTCATTGTTGTTAGTATTTACTGAGCACCTGGCATGTAACAGCCCTGGCCGAAGGGCAGCCTTCCTGGAGAACTCGACTTCCGGTCGCCCCCTCTTCACTGGGGGTGAGAATGCTCCTGTCTTCCCACCCATGACTGCCTACCTCCGCTCACCAGGCCAGCTTAAATAACCCCGTGCAGGGCAGGCCTCCTGCGCTGAGAGCATGTTTTGTTCCAGCAGAACAAAGACGTTTATGAGCCTTTCTGCAAAGTTCCTGTGATCACCTCATCAAAAGAAGAACAGAAACTTATAGCAACTTCAAATAAGGTATGTTGGAGGCACCCCTGTGGCATTTCTTTTGCTCCCAGAAATGATGGAAGTTCTTGTGAATAAGTTGTTAAGAGCGTGCGCTCTATCCACTGAGCCTTCCGGGCAGCATCTCAGCTCAAGGTGCCGAGTTCAGTCTTAGTTGTGGGCGGGCGTAGCCCACCATCGAACAGGCAACCTTGTTGTTAGGAGCACGTGCTCTCACCAGCTGAGCCATCCTGCCACCTGTTGGCAGCTCAGAGGCAGCTCAGCTCGGGCGCAGCATCTGGCCCATGTGGGAATTGAACTGGCGGCCCCGTTGCTCAGAGCTCACAGGTGCTCTTAAGCTAACTCTTAACCAACTGAGCCACTCGGCCGGCCCCAATAAGTTTTGAAATGACAGTGTGTGTCATTCCCTGGGCAAGACCTGAGAAGGGGTTAAGAACGGGAGCCTGCAGTTCGTTTTGTGTTCCCCCTGCTACTGGGTCATGCCGTCTCCCTCCCGAGCCCCACTCCAGCCGGCCAGCTATACAGTCTGCCTTTCCGGCCTGGCGGCAGGGCCCAGCCCTACAGGAAAACAGTGGTTCATGGCACCTGCACTCCAAGTAACTCTCTTCTTTCTCAAAACAACCCACAGCCAGCCGTGAAGTTGCTCTACAACAGAAGTAACAACAAATACTCATATACCAGGTAAGGCGTCAGCCAGACAAGACTTCCGCCTTTGCCAGGAAAGCCGCCTTTCATGCCAGGCAGGCCCAGCTCCTCTCGTGGCCTCCTGCTGAGGGTGGCACTCCTGTACCTCGAGGATACCCAGATAGGTAGATCTAAAGATAGACAGGTGATAGATAGGAGATAGAATATACATATACCATAAAATCCACCCTTTAAAGTATATAATTAGTATGTTTACAGAGCCGTGCAACCATCACCACTTACCCTAATTTTCATCACCCCAAAAGAAACCCTAAACTCATAGCTGTCACTCTTCATTTTCCTCCCAACTCCCTTCCCTCCCAGGCCTGGACAACCACTATTTTGCTTTCTGTCTCTATGGGTTTGCCTACTCTGGACATTCATATCACTGGAATCGTGCAGTGCTTATAGGTGGCCTTTTGTGACTTAGCATCTTTCGCTTAGCATCACGCTTTCAAGGTGCATCCATGCTGTAGTACGATCAGTATGTCATTGCTTTTTATGACTAAATAATAATCCATTGTATGGACAGACTACATGTTATTTACCCATTTACCAGTTGATGGGCAATTAGAGTCATTTCCACTTTTTGGCCATTATCAATAATACTGCTATGAACATTCATGTACACGGTGCGGACATGTTTTTATTTCTTTTGGGTATATACCTGGAAGTGGAATTGCTGGCTCACATGTTAACTTAGGTTTAGTCATTTGAGGAACTACCAAACAGTTTTCCAAAGTGGCTGCACCATTTAACATTCCCACCAGCAGTAGATGTGGGCTTATGGAATGCCCTGTGGCTGTTGGGAACATGTGACTCTAAATCAGGAACTTGAGGGATGTAGGGGGATTTGATGAGGTTAGTCAAGTAAGACCCATAAACCGACCCCGGATAAAAAGCCTCCCTTGGGCAGTCGTGCTCTGCTGCTCCTGTGACTCGATGGGGCTCTCCACATTCCCCGCCCTGGAGCCCTCTGCCCCGTGTGTTCAGCATTTCACCTCTGGCTGTTGTGGAACACGGGCTGAGTGTCCAGAGCTGTCTTTTTTGAGGCCTGGCTCTGCCATTTATTCGTTTTGGGCCTTGGGCAATTACTTAATTTCTCCAACCCTCACTTTCCCTTTTTGAGCAGCGGCGACTATGGTGCCTCTCTCATGGGATTCTTGTGAGGTTGAAATGGGATCGTGGAGATAATGGACCCAGAATGTGGAAACACTCAACTGATGGTGGCAGTTACTACAAGCTTGTGGTCACCTTATCCAATACTTTTTTGCAGCAACTCTGACGACAATATGTTGAAAAACATTGAACTCTTTGATAAGCTCTCTCTGCGCTTTAACGGAAGGGTCCTATTCATAAAGGATGTTATCGGGGACGAAATCTGCTGCTGGTCCTTCTACGGTCAGGGCCGCAAGATTGCTGAAGTCTGTTGTACCTCCATCGTCTACGCCACCGAGAAGAAACAGACCAAGGTAAGGGCTTGGAGGGGACAGTTCCGAGTGGCTACTCTGACATTTGTACGTGTACAACTTCGCTTTGCACTTGAGCAAAAAAACTTAGAGAAAGCTTTTCAAATGCTTTCCTTGACTTCTCACTGTTAAAAATATTCATGATCCTTTGGGCCGTGGCGAGATCCAGATGTACCGTATTTGCCGGCGTATAAGACGACTGGCTGTATAAGACGACCCCCTAACATTTCCACTCAAAATACAGAGTTTGTTATATACTCGCCGTATAAGACTACCCCCTCTTCCGCACACCTTCCACACACCAAATAAAAGGTAAAACAATATCAGATTTGATTTCAACATTTTAATTTATAATGAACGGTATGTGGAATGAAGTGAGCGGGCATTGGGAGGCCACTATGGCACGGGGCAAGCACTATGGGCAGTCTATCTGAAGTGTAGCTGGCGTATAAGACGACCCCCCACTTGGAGGCATATTTTTCAGGGCCAAAAAATCGTCTTATACGCCGGCAAATACGGTAGGTTTTGGAGGATCAGAATGGCATTTCCTTTCTGACGCTCAGCGTGTAGAGACAATCACACTGCATCTAAGTTCCTTCGCCGTAAATGTTGATTCAGGCGTTTCCTTGTACCCGTGTGGACCCCACTGCCAGCATCTGCTCCTCTGTCTTCAGTGACCTGACATTGCCTGTGTGGTTCCTTGCCCTCCAACGTGACATCGTTTCCCACCAGCATGGCTCCATCCCATCTTGATCATCAGAGGAATGGTGCCACCTTGAAGATCCTGACCTTGGCTTTCTAGTCATGGCCTACTACTCCTGCCATCTGTCTGTCCGCCTCTTGCCCACTGACCTGGAATGGCCATCCACCCTCATGGGGCCCACTCAGCATTCCAAGTAGCTCTCAACCATGTCGGCTTCCTTCCGAGCACAGGACTCCCTGACTGATCTGGACTCGGGATCCATTTTTTTATTGTCCTCTCCAAACCAACAGCCCTGACCTCTCCCTTGACTCCTGTCTCTGTGCCGTTCCGCAAAGCTAGATCACGCCGCCAAGTGCTGTTAGAGATCTGGTTCAAACTTAATTGAACTTCACTCCCGTTATGTCTTCTGCTTTCCCGCCCTCCTTGGACTATGCAACTCGGTTTTCTTTCCTTTTTTATTTTTTTTAAAAATATTACAATATACTCTGTCATTGCCTTCTTAGCCTATCTAAGGGAACCTTGGTTGCCAGGGATGCAGTAGCTCTGCCACGGTAGATTTTCATGGCTCTAGTCACCCTCGTACAAGTGTGTAGACCATCCACTCAGGTTATTCTCATCGTCACTGCAGCTCCGGGAGGGTGCAGTTCTGTGGGATTCTAGAGGTGGCCTCAGAAGCAAAGGCAAATGAGAGAAAATCAGTCCACAAAGTAGAAACCAGAGAGTTTGTTTTATTTGTTTGTTTTTTAACTTAAACGTATTTTATTCATTATTATTCAAAATTTATCCTAAAAGATACACACTGTTTTAAGGGAGCCACAAAAGGGAAGAGATTCTTTTTTTTTCTTTCAAAGACAGCAGGGGGATCAGAATCGTTTGCTCCTTTTACCACATTAGCAAGACACATGCCTCTTTTCTCCTGTGAACTTTTTTTTTTAGGGCTGTGAATTCTACCTCTAACTAGACCCCCCATTTTGTGAGTTTATTTTTTTTTTATATCTATGGATTGCCTCTGCTCTTGGCAATTAAAAGGATAATCACATTAAGCTTTAAACTATTGACTTTACATTTTTAGAGCTTAACAGGGAGCAAAAGGATTTAGAGACCACGTGATTTGATCCCAGCCGTTTATAGATTAGTGGACAGGCTGAGCGAGCCTGTGTTCATGTCTGTGGAGCTGGCTAGTGGCCGGGCCAGGATGGGAGGCCAGGGCCCCACTCCACGGCTCCTCCTCTGCCATCCTGTCCCTGAGGGTGTCTTCCTTTCTCCAGGGGAAGCATGCGGCTTTTGGCTTTCCAGTGAGTTGGTTTTGGGGTCAGCTGCCCCTGTAGGAACTGGTTCCTTCTTCTTCTAGCCCAGACCTCTGGGAGCTGCTGTGCTTTGGAGCAAACATTCATGTTCTGTTGCCTCAAGTAACTGTATATTCCATTTGGGCTTTTTGCATAATTGGTGTCTTATCTTCCTGGGTACAACATTCCAAGTGCTGTAAGAATTCTTTTTTTTTTAAGCTGAGCCATCCTGCCACCTGTTGGCAGCTCAGTGGCTGCTCAGCTCAGGCCGGACTCGAACCGCTGTTGCTCAGAGCTCAAACTCTTGAGCAAGCTCTTAACCAACTGAGCCATTCAGCCATCCCTGTAAGAATTCTTTTAATCATCATTTGACTATTTCTTGTAGTTAAGTTGGAAATGGTGTGGCTTACTGAAATTAAAGTGTGAGCAGATGTTTAATACAGACATTGTCCATTTGGTTCTTAATTCTGACTCACTAGGTGATATTTAAGCACAAAATCCTACCCTTTTCTAGTCTTTTTCGGTTCTGTTGTTCAGATTGTCTCATTTCTGTTGATCTATCTCATTTCTATTTATCTGTCTTCAAGTTCACTGACACTCCTCTGTCATCTCCATTCTGTTATGAACCCCTTCCACTGGGTTGGTTTTTTTTCTGTTTTGGTTATTGTATTTTTTCACTTCCTAAATTTTCATGTGGTTCTTTCTGTCCCTCCTGAGACTTCCTATATTTGCATTTGCTTTAAGAGCATTCACCCTTACTTGTAACATTTTTATAATAGCTGCCTCCAGGTCTTTGTCAGAGAATTCCAACATCTTGTGTCACTTTGGCTCTGGCATCTATTGATTATATTTTCCCTCAGGAGTTAAGATTTTTCTGGTTTTTCATATACAGAGGGTGCCAAAAACATGTATACACGTTTTCAGAAAGGAAAAAAACTGTATTAAAATTGTAATACTAAATATATACCAATAACAGGGCCGGCCGAGTGGCACGTTAGTTAAGAGCTGGCTTGGGATGCCAGAGGGCCCCAGTTCGGATCCCACATATGAGGGCCAGTGACGCTGCCCTCTACAGCTAAGATGCTGAACAACAGCTCAACCTGGAGCTGGGTTGCTGTGAGTCGCGGGCGATGGTGTAGGCTGCAGCCCCTGCTGCAGTGGGTTGCCATGGGCTACTGTGTGTAGCCAGCAGCCAGCGTGAGCGGCCAGCAGCTGCAGTGAGCGGCCGTCCAGAAACCGGCGACTGATCTGCCTCGCCCGGGAAGAGCACAATGATGGTGCCAACTTGGGCCAGTGAAGCAACCGTCCTCCACAACTAGACTGAAGAAGAAAAGGACAAGCAACTTGTCTGTTCCCCTTCCCCCAATTCCCCAATTAAAAAAATAAATAAATTTTATATACACACACACACACACACACACACACCGATAACAAAAGATGAATACAAGTCATGTGTATACATTTTTTTGGCACCACGGTATATGCTGAGAAATTTTGAATTGTATCCTGGGCATTTTTGGCTGTTGTAGGACTCTAGGTCTTGTTTAATTCTAAGGAGACCATTGATGTTTTTGTTTAGCAGACAGTTGACTCGGCTGGGTTCATGCCACGGTTCCAACCAGCCTTCTGTGAGTTGTAGTTCCAGTGACAGTTGAGTTTTCAAAGTCTTCAGATCTGTGCCACCTGTGGGCCATGCTGTGGACCAGCCTGTGTCTTGGGCAACAGTCTGTCCCAGTGCTCATTTCTTAAAGTCCACACATGCTGTTGAGGGTTAGGTCGGCAGAGTGGGGTGAGCCTAGAGTTCATACACAACCTTAAGAAGCCACTTCCTCGAGCTCCCCTCCTTTACAGTCTCCTTGGAACTTTCTGCTTCCTTGGGACTCCCCCTTTTTCAGTCATTGGCCAGAAATCTGGGGATTTCGTTACCCACTCTGCCACACACTTCCTGTGACTTTGCCTGTGTCTGGAGCCAAGCAGCATAAAGATAAAGATAAACAGCAGTAGGGATTCTCCTCATCCTGCTGAGACCACAGCTCTTCTAATCAGAAAGGAAGGTTCCCTCCCTCAGAGTTTTGGCTCTGGTTGCTACCACGAGATTTCTTGGGGGCTAAGGTGCAAGAAAATGGAAAAAAAGAAAACCAGGGAACTTCCCCCCACTCTAGGCGTTGGAGACTCCGGTGGCTCCTCTGGCCACCAGAGACCTTCTCCTGGAGCACGCTCTGTCCTGGTGTCCGTTTTAGGATGACGGGCTGCCTTGAGCTCAGCCTGGGGGGATACTGGCAGAGAAAAGCAGTCAACTCACAGCTGCTTCGATATTACTTCAGCCTTCGGTTTCCCCCCATTTCTCTGCCAGTATTTATGTCCCAGTCCTTAGGTCGCTGCCACGCACACTGTCCCCTGGCTCTATAGCCTCAGCGGGAAAGGTGGGGTGGATTGTGCTCCTTCTCCCGAAACCGGAACCTCAGCCCAGAACCCTGCCCTCAAAAGCCGAGTCTCTACCCTGTGAGTCAGGCACCTGGGACCCATCCTGGGTCCCATGGATACAGCTCACCGCTTGTTCACGGCGCCTCCACCCCAAAGGGGAACAAGCCAGTGCAGCACTTTACCAAGAAGGAGAGATCGTGTCCATCTCATGAGGGAGCTCAGTTGGTCCCTGATCAAAAAGAATGCTGCTTTAAATACTGCTTTTAAGGTGTGGAGTAACTCAGGAGCCAGGGCCCAGCTCTGTTAGTAGCAACATATTGGAAATGCCCAGCAGCTTGAACTAGTTAATTGCATTGTCCAATCCTTTATAATTCCCTGATGTGGAATGATAGCCAAGTTAGGGAAAAGCAGTCTGTCGAAGAGTCTGTGTAGGGGGCCCACCTTGTGTGTGTTTTAATGTGTGAATATTATGTAATATACGGATATTTATATGCACGGGATCCCTTGGGGAGAGTTAAATGATGAGGGGCATTGTCTTGGGGGAGGGGGGACACGGGACGGGACGCGGGGAATGGGGGACAGACAGGGAGACCTATTTATGTCGCTGTCTCGCTTTTGTCCCGTGAATTGAGCACTGTAAGTGTTGCCTATTGCAAATAGCTACTTTGAAAACAACGGGGTCTTAAATGGAATCGCCGGGCCCTGGTCTAGCCCAGCGGAAGGACTGGCGGGCGGCGGAGGCGGGGTGCGATGCTAACTCGCCTGCTCTGTATTTTGTGGGGATGCAGGTGGAGTTCCCCGAAGCCCGGATTTATGAGGAGACCCTGAATATTTTGCTGTACGAGGCCCAGGACGGCCGGGGACCTGACAATGCGCTTCTGGAGGCCACAGGGGGCGCGGCGGGCCGCTCCCACCATTTGGATGAAGACGAGGAGCGCGAACGCGAGCGGATTGAGCGCGTGCGTCGGATCCACATCAAGCGGCCTGACGACCGCGCCCACCTGCACCAGTGAGCAGGCGCGCTGCGCCGGGCCTTCCTCCCGCCCTGTCCCCTCCCCCGCTCCACACTCAGACCCTACGCAGGCTTCCGGGCACCTCCCACTTCTCCTGGAGTCCGCAGATACTTTTGTAACAAGCCAGATGATTATTTTGGTATTTCTCGACAAGGTGAATTGATTTTGACCCAGTTGAACGCGCCCCGTTGTTGACAAGCTGTGCCCAAGGGCTCTACTTTCCGGGAGAATCTGAGGAGCCGCGGAGCCAGGTTTGCTGGGTTCTCAAAGGAAAAGTATGAATGGGTGTGACGTGTATGTGAGAACTTTCGTTGCAGTATTTATTGTTGTGGATGCTCACTACCTGATTGAGTTTCCTGGGTGGCGTTCTCTTTGGGTTCAGTTTGACTGCTCTGAGAGGGATCCTGCAGCTGGTGGCCCCCAGAGGCGTCTCCGAGCCCCCTATTCCGTGACCCTCCAGCCCGCACCCTGGCCCTGGGTCCTGTGCGCTAGACCCGACAGTGTTCAGGCTGGCTTTGCTAGATTCTAGTCCATCCTGCCGCAGGATTTCGTGCCTGGAGCTTATTGGTAAATCGTTGTAGCCGTGGCGATGGGACCTGGTGTGCTTCGCGCGTCTATATTGTTCCTCGCATAGCTCTGGAGGGGGGCAAGCCTGTTGCCACTTTGGCTGGTCTGCGGTCCGGAGCTTGCTGCCCCCCCCCACACACACACACACAGCTGGCTAAGAGCAGAGCTTCCCTGGCAGTGAGTGCTCAGCTCCTCCCTTGCCCCCTGCCCCTCTCAGCGCCCCCCTTGTGGGCCCACTGCATTCCAGGAAGGCCGGCTGGCCTGGGTAGAGGGGGAGCTAACACACCCAGGGACCCATCCCCTCTCCCTCGGCCTCCTTCCTTGTTAAGCTGGGCGCACGGCCACTAGCAGATGCTTAGAGATTTAGTCGGTCCTCCTGGCCTGGCGTCCAGGCGGGACCACCACTCACCAGCAGTCTCGGGCAGCTTGCCTGCTGTCCACACAGCCATCACCTGGAGAGCCCCTTGGTGTCTTTGCCTGGCACTTTGACACAGTATGGAATAGCCATCAGTGAGAGGATGTGCAGATCCTTTTGGGTCTGGTTAGTGTCCGTGTTCATGTTTGTTTAAGGGACGTGTGCGACTGTTGACGGGGATGTGTGCTTGTGGGGCGCTGAAGCCCGGTGCTCGTGTGGAACTGACGTTCTCGGTTACCTACCTCCCAGTCTCCGCCTGTCAAAGGTGGAAGTGAGTTGTGACTAATATGGGTGGTTGAGACTAGACTAGGTAGAGTAGTTACAAGGTGATGCGAATGTGTGTAAGGAAATGGATGGGTTTTGTCTGCTTTTCAAGGGAAACATTACTGTTTTATACCAAAGGTATCAATATGGGCAGCCTCTGACACAATGTATTCCCCAAAAAAACGAGTTTATATTTTGAAATGGTTTTTACAGCTTCGACTTTGTACGTACTGCCCAAGTTGCGACAGTTGTATGCCTTTATTTTGTATCCAGCAGCAAAGCGTACAATAAACCTCTAAAACAATCATGCCTGAACCTCAAAATCAAGTATTGGGTAGATGCTTTTTAAAACTGCTGTGTGGGAAACTTGCGTATTAAGCCATTTGGATTTTAAGTGCTAAGGAAAAGGGGGCTTAAAAATAATGTTTCGTAAATATTTTATACTGTCTGAGTTTTAAACACCAACCCTGCTGTTTGGGTTGAACTTTTTTAGGACGTTAAAGTGAATGTCAGTTCTGATGTTTTCTGTAGGAATGGAAAAGCCATCATATAATTGTTTTTAAGACGTTTACGCGAAGAGTACGTTTGTGGAACAATCTGATGTGTTTGGGCTTCTGCACCTTATGACCTAGTGTTTCTGGCACTCTCCCCACTTCTGCTTTTCCTCCAACTTTGCACTTATAGCTTTGAGTCTTTGCTTCCCTGGCACATGAACAGATCTGTACAGCATTCCACTGCTGATGCCCCTGTGAGCTGCGCATAGCCATGACCTGACCGAAAGCATTGCCTGGTCCAGCTCTGTTATCAAATACGTATATTCTACAAGGAACTGATTTTTCTTAGGCTGGCACTGAAGGCAAACAAAAGGAATATTTATACTTAAGAACCTTCCAAGTAAAACACTAGTCTAAGATTTGGTAAAAAGTCATGTTTTATTAAATTGTAATAGCGTACAAGTTTAAAAAGTGGAACAGCTTTTGGTCCCTTGTCATCAAGTTGTTTTTTTCAAATAAGCCATCTGATTGTGGTGACTGGGGGCCTGTGCCCGAGACCATTCCTGGCATAGCCTCTTCTGTTGCCCTCCTGCAATGGCTTAGTAGGTTTGGTTGCTAAGAGAGAGGGTACTCCACTCTTTGTTTAGGGGTGTCTGTATCTTACAGCAGCTATCCAGGGCCCAAGTGTGAACAGTCAGCCCTGACTCTTAGAATGTGTGCTCTGTATACATCTGTGTGTCACTAACCTTTGTGTGTGCTATGAAAAAATGCTATAAGCTTTAGAAGTATGTTGTACAAGCGTTTGTGGACATATGTAAAAATAAAAGTTATATATAATGCTCCTACTTAAATCTGTTTTCTGGGTATTTTCAGAAACACCCAGCAGAGTCAAGCCACTGAAGTGCAGTTTTCAGCAAAAAGAACAAGGCAGAGATAGTACCTTCTACTTGATCACCTTAACTCTTTCGCTGCGTTGATTTCAAGCTTTTTTTCAAAATGTGTCAGAAATCCACAAAAAGTTGATATTTTGACTATTTTTATGCATTTAATAACAATTTGAGCTGCTTTGTGTATCAATGACGTTTTTCTGTATAAAAATTTCGGACATATTCATTCGGATATATCCGAGTGTCACGGCAAAAGGGTTAAAGTTGCTCAGGGTGGAAAAAATGAGTCATTTTATCTGTAGTGATTGGATTCAAACACTGGAAGGAACTCTTGAGCAGAAATATGCTGGGGCTTCTGAAAAGCCTGAACGGATCGCCAGTGTTGCCAACGATTTAACACCGGGGAGGTGGGGTCAGAGCACACACAGCTCACCATCTGGAACCTAAGGAGCCTATCTGATGTAAGGAAGTGGGTACATTTCTAAGTCCCATGTATTTAAAGCAAAATTCAAATTCTGCAGCTTTATGAAATGTCATTTACTTACTCTCCAACCAGATAGAGTACTTCCTTGTGCTTTGGAGGCAGTTTGACAAAGGCAGAGAGAACCTGTTGCCTGCCTTCTAATGGCAGGTCAAAGTGCCCGAGTGTAGGTCCTACTGGGAACATTTAAAGCCACCCCCTTGGGAGACTTGAGGTTGGCTCCCTGAAGAGGACCACTTAGTGCCACAGGGCACCTGAGAAGCTGGGGTAGGGCTCGGGCATAAAATGCCACTCCGTTTCTTCAAATGTGATGATCCTTCCCCTAGAGCTGCTGTAACCTTCCCTTGAAGGTGTAGCTCACCGGATCAAATTCCTGCCGCCTGGGCACGTTCCTCAGTCAGACATCATCCTCTATCAGGACTTCATGCGGACCGACACCTGGGAGAGAGTCCACGTTTCGGTTCAGAGGCCTCTCACCTTGCCTCACCCAGACGGAAGCAGTTATCACCCCAACCGTCATCATCCAGGTAAGTGTGGAGAGCTGCGAGAAGCCAGCCCCACCACACACACCGTCTTTTCTGCCCCACCTCCCACAAGAGAAGCCACGTTTAGAAATGGGCTCGCTGAGGCCTGTTAGCATCGTCAGCCTGAGCCAGTCAGGCAGGAAGATCGGCTGTGTGACTCTGAAAGATACTCGGTCTTAGGGGCGGGAGTTTGAAGAGCATATAAACTGAAAAATCACCTTATATTCTACACTAAAAATCATGCTTAAGTATTCTAACTTGTCCCTGAGGAGTTGTATTTAGGGGCAGTTCTGTTGTAAATAGTACACAAAATTATCTTTTATACCTACAAAACAATGTCATAGTTAAATGTTTGAACTTAAATGCATGAGATAACTCCATGTTGACAGACCATTTTCTAATTAGTTTGTATGAAATAATGAATAATGTGTGGTATATATACAAAGTACATCTTGAAAATTCAGCCCCCTCAGCTTTAAATATGTTAAAAATTAACATTATCTGGCAAAATTGGATCAAAAATAAGCTTGGTGTGCTACTTGCCCGTGAGGGCTGGTGGGATCAGCAAAAACATTGGACTTCTTCCTAAGACAGCAGTGGTTCCAAAGCCCATGCCCCCCACACACACCCCCAACACACACACACCCAGCCAATTACATCACAGCATCTAGGGGTAAGATACAAACACTGGGATTTTTTGAAGCGCACCAGGAAATCCCAGTGTGGAGTTTGAGAACCACTGTGACAAAGCGTAAGTCCTTCCCCATCCAGTGAAAAGTTGGGCTCTGTCATTTAAAACTGAGAAGAATTTAATGCCCACTTCTGGTTCACTGACAACTAAACATGGCAGGTCAACTTGCTTTTTTCCCTTTTCATACATCAATTTCTTCCTGCTTTTCAGATGCAGAATCAGGAATAAAGAGATGAACTAGGTTATGATTCCAGTCAATCTATAGAAGGACTGAAATTGGTGGAATTTTCATCTTTATTCTCATCTAACACTATTTACTTCCCTCCTCAGACACAGCACTCACCACTGTTAACTGTCCATTTTTATCTTTATAGATTTGTTCTTCTGGTCCAGTGTCGAAAACTATTGTGCCTTCTTTTCCAGGACTAATATAAAACTGTAAACTTAATAGAGACAAAACAGTGAATTATTGACAAACTGTATTATTTTTCCCCTCTCAATAATCAAAAGAAGAAACCCATTTCCACAACTGGGAACCTTACCCCATTTCTGTAGTTATTCGCAAATCAATTTAGCACATTCAGTTCTTCAAGGGGCCCATGTGAGGTCTGAATAACCATTTCTACATCTTCCTGCTGCAGCTCTCAGAGTGGGCGAGGTCTTCCCTCAGAGGTACAGCAAAACAGAAACACCACTGCCCATGGGACCAACTCCCTCTCCCCATTCCACACGGGAATTTGCTCGGCAGGGGCCCTGGGAGCACAGGGCTGAGCGTGCTGTGCCTGATTCAGTTTGAGAATGAGAGCCAAGCCTGGCCTTGGGAAATTGCCCACCATCCCTGACTAGCGAGGTGACACGCAGCATGCTGGGTAACCACCTTGTGCCTGTGAAATGCAGAAGGTGGCGCCTACTTCCTAGTTGTTGGGAGAACCGAGTTAAGAACTCTACGTGCCAGGTACTTTTCTTTTACATCCTAAAGAAATTTCAGCACTTTTCCCTTCATCAGTCTGTAAGCAGCCTGCAAAGCTGAGGCCCACTGTGCTCCACCAAGTGCCCCCAAAAACAGGCTTTGCCAGCACAGGTGTGGCTGTCACCTGCTCTGGCCCAGAGGTCCTGCCTTCCCTTTGTGACAGCTTCCCTCAGGAACTTAAGCACCTCCTGTCAACACGATGGTAAGACCACTCACTGTTCGCTTCGGTCAGTGAGTGAGCACTGACTTCTTCGTTTGCCCGGAGCCCAGCTCATAGAAGGCAAGGAAGGAAGTTCTTTGTATCAGAGAGGACAAGGGTACCCCACTAGATGCTTCTTCCCCACCAGCTGCTGGTAGGCAGTGCTGATTTTACGGGAAGAGGCGGGCACGGGTGAAACGACTAACATTCACGTCGCCCTTGATCCGCTCCTCAACATGTTAACATCGCACTACTTCCTGAGCTGCGGAGGAAACCAACCTACCTTCCTTGAACGACGTTTACCATGTTCTCCTTCTTAACCAGCATGGCGAGTTTAGTAACCACTTCAAATATGTGTTCACACTGTAAGATGGCGTCCCCCTGAGGTGGAGAAGAGAGGACACGGCCGGGTCAGGAGCAGCCGTTTAAACAAAAATACTCTCCATTAGGCTTCTGGTATTCGGCATTTTGGCACCATTTTAGCAGAGACTGGTGGCCGTCAAGTACCTTTTGCTTGCTGACTCCTGGCGAAACGTGAATCACTACGATCCCGTCGCGCAGATTGCTGGTAGAGACACCTTAGGACAGATCCAAAATTAGGAGCCAGGAACTGCACAACTTGGCATTAATACAGAAAAAAGAAGAGGCCTGCCTAGGGGCTCTCCGATCCCATACTTTCTCCCTCCTGGCTGAGCCCGGTAGGATGAAGGGTCTACTCAAACAGCATGCTAGTGGGCTGTAAAGAGAGAGGCACTGAATAAGAAGCAGGTCACTGTGGAAGGTGCCTGCTGTCCAGCCTGGATACTGGAGGGGGGAGGGTACCACTGATACTGATGCCGGAATAAGGCCCCGGCTGGGCCCGGCCAGCCCGCTCCACGGATGCCTTCCAGTGGAAGGCTTCATGGCTGACGTGGAGCCAAGACAATCCAGTGAGTTGTCTTGAGATGGCCAGCCTCTTACCTTTGAGTGCTGAGTACTCTATTTTCTGCTTGATTTTGGCAAGTTCCACCACGTAAGCCGCTTTCTGAGTAAGAATGAGTTGCCGCTGTCGCGCCTTGAAGCCTTGCCTGTCGTATTTAATGACCGGGATACCGTACTGCAAGGAGGTTACCATCACTACAAGGGGAAGGTTACTTCATGGGGAGGAGGGGGCAGCGGACGGAGCGCTTGGTTACTCAGACTCTGGCAAAGTTAACTCCCAGCGCGTGCACGCACACACACAGACACACACAGGCTCAACCAGACTCTGCATAAACGTGTTTTCTACCCTGGCTCTCTGCCAGGTAGGTTTTGAGTCCCAACTCTGCCTATGGCATTGCCCTTCTGAGGAAGTCAAGGTTAGGGCCACCTGCCCTGAGGTCAGCAGAGATGACCTCTCTCCAACGCCGTGTGGAAATGAAAGCCCTCGCAGCCAGAGAATAATCCACTCCAGCCCCACAGGTTTCTCTTCTCCAGGGGACCAGAAGTGACCGCGCAGCCACGAGAGCCACCAGGAGCTTACGTAACCTGGCAGGGATTGCACAGCAGCTGAGTCAAGAAGCCCACATCAGCGCTCAGGCACCTTGCCCTACTTTTCGCTAATAGGGGACGTTTAAATATTAAGTTCGTGGCTATACCGGGGGTGCCAAAAACACGTACACAAGTCGACACTTTGGTCAGCGTTTCTCCAGCAGTAGTTCCCCATAATCAGCAGCGTCTGGACGCTGATGGCAACCACTTCAAGCGCCTCTTGTCATTGCAGAAGTCAAACGTGACTTGTATTCATCTTCTGTTATCAGCGTGTATTATTGCAATTTTAATACAGTTTTCCTTTCTTAAAATGTATATACATTTCTTTTGGCACCCACTGTATTTAACTCAATTTCATAGAAAACCAAACACAGTTCCCAAGGTGACTGATAAGGACCATAGTGACTGATAAGGACCATAAGAACAACACGTATCTAATAGTCACATGGTCCCCATAATCTTAGTTGCTATCCAGAGCATGACAGGTGAGAGCCCGGCCCAGCCACACAAACCCCCCTGTTCACAGTGCTTCCGGACACTCTCCATGTAGGAAACAGACCCTGGTCTCAGACCCCACCCGGGAGCCCCGTTTAAGGCCAGGCCCATGCTTCCTTACCTGGATTTTCTCACTGTTAATGAGTTGAAGCACTTTGGGATTAATGTCTTCTTCATCTAGGGAAGGAACCAGAACACAGTGAATCGTCCATCACTCATTACCATCCTGTTCAAAAGCCACTGGCATCTGCTGGCTTTATGTCCCTCTGTGACCAAGACCTCAACTGGGGAATAGCCATCGGGAAATGCTATGGAGCCAAGCATCTTTGACATTTTTTAAAACGGGAAGTGAGTCCATACACAGAAAGGTGTACTTGCCTAGCCGACTGTTGGCAAAGGGTTGGTTTAAAGTTTCTGCGTAGCCTTCTTTCCTTCCCCTGAATATTGTACTGGTAACTGCCTTTTGTTGCATCTGGTAAAGACAGAATTGACAGTATGAAAATGGGGGGCCCGGGCTCTTCGGGACAGAAGCTTTAAGGTCCGCGGTATCGCTTACTTTCCCAGATGAGCTGTAGGAGCCTTGTCATATACTTCTGCATAAGAAATCAGAGCACATTCCTGGCTTTGGCCAAAATGCCCTAAAAATTACACTGCCAGAGATTGAAGCTTTCAGAATTTCAGAGAGCAGTTCCTTTCTTCTAGGTCAGAGATCGGCACACGACAGCCCACGGGCCAAATCCAGCCTCCTGCCTGGTTTTATAAGTCAAGTTTTATTGGAGCACAGTCCTGCCATCCAGTTATTTGTTGTCCCTGGCTGCTTTGGGACTACAATGGCAGAGTGGGGTCATTGCAACACACGTCGTCCCGCAAAGCCTAAACTATTCTCTCTAGCCCTTTATGAAAAGGTCTGCTGACCTGCAGATAAGCATAAACAAAACCAGACCTCCAGCAGAGAAGGGTCCTGCATTTGCAGGGCAGGAGCCATCTGGGTTACGTTCCCATGGCAACAGTGATGCGGATAACAGCTGCCATTTATCAAGGGCTCTGTGCTACATGGTCTACATGCATTTAATTTTTCAACGTGTGTGCAAGGCCTGGGCCTAGGGTGACCCTTGGCTTACAGGTGAATTGGTGGGTGGGGACTGCTAACTCTAATTGGGGAGCTGTAGGGCCAACCCCTGCCCGTCCTCCACCAGCCCTGTGCCACACACACACCCTGCATCCCTACCAGTGCCTTCCTCTCGGCTGTGAGCCCACGGCAGTACTTCCGAACCAGGTTTCTTTTGCACAGTTTCCAGAGCAGATACGATGCCTAGGTGGAGAACACACTTCTTTTCACCTGCTTCAGTCACTCCCTGTCTTGGGCTGTGGCTTCGAAAGCACAGCTGAATTCAGTTCGATGTAAAGCATGTTACTATTTTATAGTCAAAGCAGCTAATTTTCCAACCTTGCACTAACTTTTGGCTACTGCTAAGCTAGAGGTTCTTAAACTTGAGTGTATTTGAGTCCCCCAAGGAGTTGGCTAAAAGGAGATTCCTAGAAACGCCGACTCAGTGGGTCCAGATTGGGGCCCAGGAATCTTAACTGTAGCTCCTACTCTGCACTCCAGACACACAGGGTCCTCAGGTCACCTTTAGAGAAACACTGTAGTAGGTGACAGTCACCCAACCCATCTGGAAGGCTCCATCAAGGATTGACACCATTTAAAAATACTCTGTGTAGGGGTCAGCCGGGTGGTTCAGTTAGTCAAGAGCGTGAGCTCTGAGCAACAGGCTGCCGGTTCGATTCCCACATGGGCCAGTGCGCTGCGCTCGAGCTTAGCTGCCAATGGGCGGCCGGATGGCTCAGCTGGTTAGAGCGTGCTCCTAACAACAAGGATGCCGGTTCAACTCCCGCATG